TATACCATGCCGAAGGGCCTGTCGAATAAATATGCCGAGAATCAACGTCTCTCCGCCATGAAGGTTAAGAAGCGTCTAGAAACCGGCTCCAACCGCCCCGATTTCATGACTTCAATGACAACAAAGCGCAACGGAGAAGTAAGTTGAACATGCATACTCATACATGAGAGAAGGCATATTAATTGAAGTCTCTAGTCCCTTACCTTTGAGGAGCTCACGTCCAATGCTTCCATTCTTATCATTGCGGGCTCTGAAACCACAGCCACAGCCTTGTCTGCCGCTGCTTATTATCTAGGTCTCTTTCCAGAAGTCCAAGCAAAATTGGCCCAAGAAGTGCGGACGACCTTTAACAGTGCGGAAGATATTACCATTACCAGTGTACAGCATCTCACATACATGCTGGCCGTTCTTGACGAAGTTATGCGCATGTATCCACCTGCCCCCGGTGGCCTGCCACGACTCACTGCTGAAGGAGGTGCCATGATTGCTGGGGAATATGTTCCTGAAGATGTAGGTTATATCCTTCATGTTCATACAGTGAGAATCAAAACCTCTGACTCATTAATTTAGACCGTTGTTGAGGTTTGGCAGTGGCCTTTGTTCCACAACCCGAATTACTGGACGCAGCCTGATGACTTTATTCCTGAGCGGTGGCTTGGTGATCCGAAATTTGCAAATGACAGGCGAGAGTGCTTCCAACCATTCTCCACAGGTCCCCGTAACTGTATTGGCAAGAAGTAAGTCATGATTCGTGCGCTCACTCTGGCAATTTGAGGCCATTGACTAACATTCCAAAATAGCCTCGCATACTCTGAAATGCGCCTTATCTTGGCTCGTGTGATAATGCAATACGATATCAAGCTGGCTGAAGGAACTGAGGGCTGGGATGATCGAAGCAAGGCCTATTCTCTGTGGGAGAAGGGTCCGGTCAATGTTTACATGATCCCAAGGAAGGTGGAGTAAAGTTATACAGGAAGACTAGTAAGAAACGGGGATTTGTATTTCTATAGTTGTGTCTTGTTTTCACAGCGGCGATAGTTGAGTTTGATTTGGGCTTAGTGAGAGGATATGTACTCAAGATTGTTATCATTTTATGGGCAAAGCATGTTGTAGGGTCTGTGGCGGCGGAGAGAATATATTGCAGCGGTATGTTTAATATGGACTGCAAATATCAAACATTGCCCTATCGTAGCTGTGGAAATGCTTCGCCTCCCTAGTATCCAAGATCATAGAAGAGCTAGCTATTCGGGCATCTTTGCCCTCTTTTGTCAAACTTGATGCGCCTGTTTCATGTTGGCTGAGCCACTGTCCCTGGTAGGTCGGCGCGCCTTGTTTAGGCTTGGGTAACCCTTTAATTAATCTTTGGGTCTCGTTGCCTTTTCTGAGATTTATCTAACAGCCCTTCCTTTGCGTTTCAACGGTTTTCTTACATTTTGATATCCCCATTCTTTTCTCACCCGGTTGGCTTTTTCAATGTTCGTATATTACAACTTCTTGTTCTTGGCATGTACTTTCTTTAAAGCTAGAAAGCCTAGTGGTCTCTGACTCCTGATTATGCTTTGCGCATTTGATACCCGAGACAATAGTGACTGTAATACTCCACACATACAAAAACAATCACCACCCCAGATTCAAGGGCTATCGCATATTAGGGTTTGTAAGGAGTTCAGATATTACCGGGTACAGCTGGATGCGAAGGAAACAGAAATCGAGCCTTCTATTAATCACAGGCACAGGTACATGTACTTACCAACACAGGTAGTGCTCACTACCTATAGTCGACTCACTGGGAGCGACAACGACGGAAGAAAAACTGGCAGAAGTCCGAAATCTGGAATTTCCAAAGAACCTGAAGGCCTTCGAGCACTTCTTGGGCTTTACAGGATTCTACGACACAATGAACCACGCTACGCAATGATTGTCGAGCCCCCTTAGTAGGCAGATAGGTGCACAGGTAGGCAGTTCAAATCCTTGAATATCTGCTACTATCGCTATATTCTTCTAGTTCCGCTGCTTTCTTCTAGTTCCGCTGCTTTCTTCTAGTTCCGCTGCTTTCTTCTAGTTCCGCTGCTTTCTTCTAGTTCCGCTGCTTTCTTCTAGTATCTGCTACTTTTTCTTAGTCATAAAGATCCTCCTCCTTCGACGACCTTCTTATATTCAGCTTTCATCAGCTTATGCGATAATAGTGCGTTTTTGGCTGCGGGAGAAACAACATAGTCGAGGCGTCGTATGATATCTCTCATCTCTTCTTGGTCGGCTTGAGACAAGACGGTGGCTGGGGAGCGATATGCATTGATACAACGGATACCGTCGTTCCACTCTGGGTCCCCTTCTTCAACTTGCTGTGGTTTACCATCGGTGTGTCGTACGAGTTTCTTGTGTGTCAACTCAAGGACCGTCTTCTGGGTGGTTTAATTTCTCTTGGAATGCATTCTTGATCAATACATGTCGATAGGTAAGTTGCAAGTTTTTTAATCTTGCGAGATAAATGAAAGGGCAAAATTAATACTAGCAAGCTTAGACAACTTGTGATAGAGAGATGCTGGTGGTCGGAGGGGTGACGCAATTCAATAGCTGGAGAGGGAGAGGGAGATAAAAACGAAAAGCGGGAAGCGGGAGCGTAAATAGCATGATGCTCGCGGGGGAAGAAAGGGGAGGGAAAAAAAAAAAAACAGACGAAACAGATGAAACAGCCAATTAAATGCAAGAGTTTCGCGCAGCGCGTTGCCAGCTGGTTGAAAAGTGGTGGAAGTGATTGTGAAGCGACGCACTCTGTGTCGGCTGGTACCACACGATCGCCGCATTAGCTGGCGCTCGCTCAGATATTGATATTCAGAGCTATCCATGTGTAGTAGGCGTGTTACGCCCGCCTGCGAGCTTCTGCTTCATTGGTACATAGGCAGATTATTAAGAACTGTAGAATATAATGCTGGATGGCTTTATATTTAAGTCTATGACTTGATACCTTCTAAAAAGTTTAAGGAGGGACAAGCAAGATATAAATAGATGCATGGCAATAGATGAACGATATCAGCAAGCACTCTGCGGTGGAGGTCCGTATTATAAGGCATTGCCACTGTATATCGTGAAAGAACCGAGGCGAACAATTAGTCTATTGTAAACAATTCGTAGATGGACACTTACTTGCGGTAACATAACTTTTTGCGGACAATTTGATGCCATTTGGGGCGACTGGCGGTTTGCTTGGAGACTTGGCCAAGTTTGCTGGGTGTGGACAGCTCGTAGGGACGTTAAAGAGTCTTGACTGATGTCATATTCGTTTCTCTCGTTAGACGCAGCTGGTGCCTTCTAGTAGGTACATATTGGGGACACCAGTGTTGATAGAGTTGGTGGGAGTCCTCAACATCTTCACGCCGAAGCTTTTTAATGAGTACAGGAATCATGCCTGCCAATAAGCAACTTGGGCGAAATTGTATATACGCCCAAAAGGATCAAATCATCAGTAACCTGGGGAGGACGTGGTTACAGACAGACCTTGGCGTACATGTACTTATTTCCAACAAGCTATACAATAGAATGGCTCTGGATTGTGCGTGGAGAGTGACCAGGCCTTGGGCATGTGAAGCTGTACGCATGGGAACAAGGAGAGGCAAGGCGACATGCCATCGAAGTTGATTGGACCCCCCCTTGATCGAAGATTGCGACATTGATCCCATGCGCTGACTTATTCGTGGAGCGGGATACTGCAATTGAAGTTGTATATCCGGCGGGAGATGAGGTCGAAGCGGCTCCCACGTCAATGGGCCTTCAAGATTCACAGATGACTCAGCCGCCTTGGTCAAGTCGTGGGCTCATTTCTGAACGTTCGGTTTCAAGCACGCAGCACCACGATCTTTAAATGTGATGTTCATGCTTCAACATTACCCATCCTTCTATCGCTACATAGTGGCTCATCTGTCAGCATTAGCTTGGTAAGAGCGAAGAATAAAGATAGATCTTAGATAAAAGGATAAATATAGAGAAGCCAGAAGGTTAAACAAGACTAACTAAGAATGTTCAGACAGAAAATGGCTAGATCATCAATCAGTAACGGTGACAAAGAGAAGTCAAGGCACGATGCATCGATAGAAAGAAGACTCGAATTACCTGTATCTAGGTAGACAGGTGCCGCCGATTCGTCGTAGCGCGAGATTGCTCGCCGCGGCGGCACAAGATGAGACACCCCCGGACGGCGCCAATGACAGCGCCATCTCCATGACGCCCACACCGAAGCGCCGACGAAGTGCAAGATTGAAGTAGCTACAAAGATGATCTTGGAGGCCGGACAGAAGAAGTAGTAGATAGTAGAGGAAAGTAGCGATAGTAGCGGATACTGGAAGAAGTAGCAGATAGTATAAGAAGCAGCGATAGTAGCAGATATTAGAAGAATATAGCGAGACTAGAAGAACATCCATAGGGAAAGGAGCAGATTGATGGCTCTGTCCCAGTTGGGATTGCTTCATGCCACTTGATACCGTTGTAATGTCGAACGGTTTGCCACTAGAGGACGGGCGTGGTCGCTTAGCCGCAACAGATAGATCGTCTTCGCGGTTAACTGGGGACGCTTGGCGCTTCTTGTGCCAAAGGACTTCAACCTCTGTATAGGAGGAGTCAGAATCTTCCTCACCAGTCAAGTCCTGTTCATCGTCTCGAGGGGCGGGCCCAGATATCCTCTGGTCTTCCATAGCCTTTCGGGCCATGCATGCTTTTGCCTCGGCGATGGTTTTTTGCGTGGCAGCTACTACCGGATCGCTATTGTTGAATGAGTTAGTCGAACCAGAAAAGGCGTTCGTGGACGAAGAAGAAAGATTCGTCGAGGCAGGAGGAGCGTTCTTGGACGAAGAAAACAGCGTCGAGCCAGCGGGAGCAGCAAAAGGCGTCGATCCAGTGGGAGCATCCTTGGACAAAGCAAAAGGCTTTGTCGAGGAAGAGAAAGTAAAAGGATTTTGCGAAACATTGGGAGCATTTGCTGATACAGAAGAGGCGCTGTCGGAACCTCTGAGGAGGGTACGGTAAGTGTTGGAATAATCGCCAATAAAACTCGTTCCGTAGAGCCTTCTAACGAGTTTTATATACCTCTTGGGTAGCTTCTTGTAAACGGCCGACAAAATGAGGTATATGGGCCATGATAAGTTCTCGACACGTTTGCCTTTTTTCTTCAAGGCGTTCATCGTCCGCCCGTACAGCTTATGGGCTGAAGCTATCTTTGCTGTACGTGCTCTAACGTAGTCATGACTCTTGATAATATCACACATTTCCTCCTGCTGCTCTCGGGCAAGGCGTATTGCCTGAGCTTGGTAAATGCGGATGCAAGAAATCGCTTGCTGCAACTTATCATCGTTTGGTTTCAGTTCAAGATCTTTGAGAGATAATGCCAACGGCGGCGGCGGCATCGGTTCTTTCTCAGCATTTGTCGGCATAGTGGCAGGTCTTGTGGAACTCGAGGCGGCGTTGGCAACCGAAATGAATGATTTGACGGTCATCACTACAGGATGGAGGGCCTAGATAGAGGATTTGGTGATATTTCGAGCAAAGAGAGAGTTGGGGAAATAATGAATAAAGAAAATGAACGGGGCGAGAAATGAGGAGCGATTCCTGAAGCATCGAGTCTTATGTGAGCTGGGGTGTCAGGAAAAAGTGAATTGCGCCATGTGTTTGTGGCTGTATCGGTAGATAGTCTTCACGGGATCCTACATCTTCAGCTTGTGAGGACCTTCCCATGAAGCTGTGTTTTCTTTTTGCCATTAGTCACTGCGCAACTGATAGAATTGTAACTGCTTGGCTCGCGGATTGGACATTATGGTTTACAATTGCTTTGCAAAGTATTTGGCGTGGGCGTTGCTAAGTGCATTGCGGCTGAGGGTATGCTCTTGGAGCGAGGCTTATGAATGGAGACACGGAACAAAGTTGGTTAACTTCGAGACTGAGACTCGGCGAGCATTCGTGAGAACTGGTGTGATGACTTGTATTGTGGATTAAGAGCTGCCGACATTTGGTTGAACGCATTTTGCTGTAAATGCGTCTGACGAGCCAACAGTCATGGACCCAACTTTACACCAAGCGCTGAATACGTTTACCATGTCAAGTGTCCAAGGTGATGCCAATCGATGAATTTATTTTACTAGCAAAATATCCCCCACCGCCAGCCACCACCAATCCGGTCGCCCCTTTTGTTGTATATGTAGTTGAACGTGAAGTGATGAACATGTTTCCAATTCGAGGGAATTCCAGGGGATAGACGGTACCAGACGTTTCTTTAAAAAGACAATAGATTGTGAATTATACCTTACAGTAGAGGCAAACAGAGATTCCTATTTGTTGGTCCTGAATAAACATCCAGTCTAACGCACCCAAGCTACTAAGTCTTGTTAAGGAGAGCGGCCGCTTGTCTTCTTTATTTGCGATAGGCTAATTGGGATGAAGATAAAACAACAATATATATGTCAAACCATGTCCTATTGTATCCTTTTCCACGTCTCCGTTACCATTGTCCTTGATGATCAGTAATGGCGATGTCATCTTGTCACACGGCCCACAGCTCCAACCAGCGATTATGAGATCACAACAAGATATCCCTCGCCATTGAAGAAATATATGCTGATGCAACTAGAAACTCTTCAAGTCAATACCAACAGTGGAAACTCAAGCAAAGTCATTTTTGCATGGGCGAATGAGATCCATGTGTGATTACGGGATACGCAACTGACTCATTGTACTTGTACCGAGGCACATTGAAATGACTGCATGACCCCGGTATATTGTGAGATCAAGACACATATAAATGCACATAAGGTCAAAGAGAACGATCATGTGCTTCTTCCATCGTTTATTGAAAATATCATTAGTTACGCGGATTAAAAATGTAAATTGACTATGCACAACATAACGAAAACAACCAGCAGCCACGTTACTCCTTCTCCTTGCTTTCAATCGTAATGCTCATTCTACCAGTAATTTCGTCAAGCTCACGATTCTTTCTATCACGGCGGTCCGTGTAGGCTAAGATAATGGTCCAAATTACAAGAGCAATACAACAAGCAATCATGGCCCACATGCCGCGCTGCGAGTTGAAGTTAGCAACACATTCTTGATATAGCAACACACAAACACTTACAGTAAACCAAGGAGCTTCAGAAGCTCCGTAAAAGATGATGCTCCACCATGCATTAACTGCGTTATTACCGAGATTCATGCCAGCCAAAACGACAGCTCGGAAGACGTGTTCTTCATATCTCATGGAGTCGTTACACCAGGCGAAGAAGGTTGCTTGACAAGCATAGACAGATCCGGCCCAGTAATAAGCAGCCATCGTTACCGAGGTCGAATGCGAGCTGGTTGGGTGGTGTGATGCTACCAAGACCATGATGGAAGTGGCAATTCCTGTTAAACCGATCCAATACCCAACTAAATATCGCTTTCCATTTAAGAAGTCTGTTAGTGTAGCCCAGAACAAAGTCGAAACAATGCCAACAGCAGGCACTCCGGTGGGATAGTTGTTGAGTTGAGACACTGTGTACTTGGTTGTGGGATGGCTCTTGAGATAGAGCGCAAGAAGTGAGTTTGAAGAAAACGACTCTGTCTCTCCGGCAATGACCCAGAGCATGACAAAACCCCACCAGTACCAAGACAAAAGGACCTTCTTGAGAAAGCGGAAAGTGATGGGCGAATGCTCTTCAACAACAGGGACGCGGGCCACAGCCAGAGCCTTCTCATCGTCGGTAAGGTAAAAGGCCGTTGTGTTGCGGGGCGTGTCCGGGAAGAAGAAGAAACCATATGCAGCGACGGGAATGGTAAGAAGTCCGTCGATGATGAAGAGCCAGCGCCATCCTGCGAGTCCGCCGCGGCCGTTGAGGCTTGAGTGAATGCCTGTCTGGATGAAGCCGCCAATCATGCTACCAGCAAGACCGGATGAGGTAAAGATACCGCTGCGCTTTCCTAGCTCACGCTCCGTATACCAGGCACCAAGGATGTAATGCGTACCGACAAAGGTAGAAGCCTCAAAGATTCCTTGGAAAAAGCGAATGGCCATGATGCCTTGCGGGTTGTGGACGGAGGCGGTAACCATCGTGAGGCCGCCCCAGCAGAGCATCATGCAGGGGAACCAGATGCGCGGCTTGACATAGTAGAGGGAAAGATTGGAGGGAACCTGACCCAAAACATAGCTAGGAATCCGATTTTGTTAGCAGCTAGTCTTATTGTCTCTGTCCAACTCCCCCAGTCTCTACCATAGAGGGACAAGATCAGTCACTTACCCAACGGTGAAGCAAGTATTAATGACATTGAGTTGGTTTCCAACAAAGCCCAAGTCTTCTCTCATGCCCGAGACGTAAGCATTGGCAAGGTTAGAGCGGTCAAGCTGGTGAGAATCTAGTTAGTCAACGTGCATATGAAGCAGGCAGAGCGTTCGTTACACATACGTAGTTAATGAAGTAGCTGAGACAGCAAAACGTCAAGATGAAAAAGTCAATCTTGCGTATCAGTGTACGCTCTCCAGGCTTATACTCCGTATGGAAGTATTCGCGGACTTTTTGGTGCACCATTTTGAACTGCCGAGGAGGGTCAAGCCGCCTCCGGTTTCCGCTCTCAGCGCAAGACAAAAAGAGTCTCTGAAGAATTTTTTTCCTCAGACAAAGGCAGCGAGTGATGGAACCTTGCAGCTGATGCTCTCTTCTGATGGTCGCTCACAGGAACACAGAATGCGAGGGTGTTTGGATGATCTTAAGAGCTGGATGCTCCCTCATCAGTCATCAGTTAATGTAATCGGCCACACCCCCGTCGGAACGTCGTTTCTTGTTCCAGCGCCCGTCGTCGGCTAAAAAAGTCCATGTGGACGGACCTAGTCAATGCCGGCAATAAGAAAAAAACGAACAAAGGCTGCGAGTTATCGCTGTGGCGAGATAAGAGGCGCCTGTTAGTTCGCCCCCCCGTTATCTCCAATATCTTGTCTAGTACGATGCCCAGATGCTAGCACAAGTTGTAGTCCGAGCTTCGCGCCTTTTCGGCCTGTCGCGTGAGGGCGGTGATGAACTGGATCAAGACTCAGATACGCCCATTTAGCGGCATGGCTGGCTGTTGGAGATCAATGGTGCTTAAACTAAGAAAGTTGGCCGAGTTAAGATCCCTGTTACGGTTTGGCATGGAAGTCTTTAGCGCTGGCCCGAGGCATGCAGTGTCATGATTCTACTCCGTACGGAAACTCGATAACTCAACTGTACTAGTACTGATGCTTCTAGTCTCAAGCCTCCCTGCTGAGGGCGTCAGTCATTCAGTCACCGGCCGGTGAATCAGACGTGGGGAAACACAAGAAACGTCCCCTCTTTCGGAAGGGAAGACAAAAAGCTGGGGTAAATAGATGGGGGCCAAGCTCGAGGCTCGGGGCGAGGCTCCATCGTTCGGCAACTGACTGACAATACGAGTACTGAGTCTCGTTGCTGATGACGGGCTGTTAGTTTCGAAACTTATCCTCTCTCTGCCATGCCATGCGGAGAAGCTGCCTCTCTCCGGTAGGCTGCCGAGTAATTAACCAGCCAGAGTCGCACTATGGAGCTGCGATAACGAGATCGGTTCCTTGCAACCCCCGCAGACGGGCCAAATCCTTTGCTCGCCTACATACATACAATCTATCCACATCCACACCAGCCGCATCGCGATGCTAGACATCCCCTGATCTCTTCTCCTTCTCACCATTCTTCTTTCTTCTCCTTTCTCCCCTTCTCCTCTTTCTCCTCCCCTTGTTAATCCACACCCGCCCACCCCCCCTCCCCCACGCCCTTGTTGTCGTTTGTCTTCGCCCTCTCCTTTGGTTGCCTTCCCGATTTGCCGTTTTGACAACCTACCAAATCGAGCAAGCTGGGAATGGCTTCCAGTTCCAACACCAAGGATGGGGTTCTTCAGCAGCGCAACAAGCCAGTCGGAAAGCCGCGTGGCATGCGCCGGGATCGGGACTGTCGCAGCTGCAAGCTAAGAGACGTCAAGTGCGATCTCAACAGACCCTCTTGCGGAGAAGTGGGTATGCCCTCATCTCATCCAGCCCTTGTCTTGTTGTCTCATTGTTATGCTCCTTGTTGCTTGGCATTACATGACATGACATCCCATCCATCAATACGGGTATCAATGCTCATCATGTGTGTGTAACAGTGTATCGCTGCCGGCGTGCCGTGTGGCGGCTATCCGCAGCGAGTCATCTGGGTCGGCGCCAGCTCGTCGGCAAAGGATGCCTCGCTATCGTCCACGTCCACGTCCCCGTCCATCATCACGCGCCCTCGCCAGGCCAGATCGCAGTCGACGCTGTCGCGATCCAGCGACTCGGGTCTCACCCCGGATCGCCCGGCGGATTCCTCGCTGTCGCCGCCTGACCGGCCCGTGTCGAGCCCCGGCGACGAGCCCATCAACTGGTCCGAGGCCGACCAGAACAGCTTCATCCGGCCGCTGGTGTCGCTGTGCCAGCAAATCATCTCGCTGGACGGCGATGCGCTGCGGAGCAACCACTATCTGTCCGTCGAGGCCCTGCGCCTTATCTCGCGGCTGCGCGACTTTGTCCAGGCCCGTATCGATGGGCATCCGGCGCGAGCCTCGACTGGTCGCGGAGACTTGTGGGAGTCGGAGGCCATGGCGCGATATCGCCTAGACGCCCTCATGAGCCTCAAAGATACGCTAAAGGCCACCAACCCCTTTGCATTCATCGGTATCGCGGCTTTTGCCTTCTTTGAGGTTTGCGACAGTGGCTTCGGCGACTGGCAGCGCCATCTTTACGGAGCCAAATCACTGCTAGACTATCATTGCAAGAGCCGGGCTGAGCTGGATACGTTATCACGGAGTGTCACCGGTCTGGGCGAGATGGTGATTCGTCTAGTTTGGTTCGACACTACCGGTAGTATCATCCGAGGGACGACGGATCTCATCTTTGAGAGCTGGCATCGCGACCTCCTGACGGATAGTTTCTTCCGAACGGTCGGTTGTCCAGCCGACACTTTTCAGCTCTTCACGCGCGTGGCAAGTGGCGAGGTGGCCTCTAATCCCTCTAACAGCGCCATTCTCGCCATGGAGCAGCTCCTCAAGCTTAACCAAGGCACTACCGACTGGGATCGTTCAGCTAACGCTTATCGCTGCGCGGGAGTCATTGCCGTGCTGACCCGAGTGAGCGAGGAACCCGCAGCGATATCCAAGGCAGCCACTATTACGCTGGCGGTAGACCGGGCGTGCCAGATCATTGCAGCAACGCCATCATCTTCACAGTTTTACATCCATATGGCTGTCCCGGCATATCTGGCCGGTATCAACGCGAGTACAGTGAAACAGTGCGATGTTATACGAGCGTACTGGCATAATTGCAACCATGCGGGCGTTCGACGATATCCGGATGGTTTGGCCAGATGTGAGGAGCGTTGGAAGATGAAAGGGTTGGCGTAGCTATAAACGATTGAATTTCTGTGTTTTGGCGAAATGAAAGCGGTTTTTAAGATAGTTTCTTTTGGAAGGATATATGATGCACACGGGATTTTTAAAAAGGGAATATGCTACATATAGCAGGGACTTGGGAGTCTAACTGGTGGAACGGGGACCAGCGAGTTGTCTGGTGTTTATGGATACTTTACAATGGTACGTTGAAGGATTTTCGAGCAACATTTCTTGCTCATTGGCTTCATCTATATACGATGTCGATATTGTTATGATTTCTCTCCTAAAAGCAATCAAGTGTGTATACGTTCGAAATGGTGTAATTCACCACCCAGCTAACAGCAATTTCGTTCATTGCCCAAAATGTAAAAATTGTGCTACCATAGTTCCCCAATTCACGTTGATATTATCTGATAGTATACTCAACATAACAATCTATATCCTCACCATCAAAACAACAGAACACTACTATTACCGTTATCCACTCTGTGAACTCCACCTCGCAATGTTGCATCGGTCAACAATGCTGCACAACGTCGAGATATCCATTCATAGGCAAGGATGCCTCACCGCAAACCTTTGTTATCCTTCCTATTTTACACCATCATTCACTTCTCAAGCATTTTAACATATAATTGATGCGCTAGCGCTACTAAAGCAGGTCTCACCTGTTTCCTCGGTCTAAAGCGCCGTCATTGGCTGTGCATCCCATGCAGATCCGTGCTCCCAGCCCCATGGACATGGTTCATTATCATCCTGATCAAGTTAAATGATTGTCACTACGTTTGCTCAGCTGAATGTTCAGCTTTGGGACACGGAGACAGAACTGGATCTCATGCCGGTGCTAGTATCAACTATTGAACCATCCATCCACAAGATGAGCAAGAGATTAGCAATGCCTCGCACTTGTGCCTATCAGCAATATCAACTCGACAAACCATTTGTCGACACATCTTTTATATCTTCAACTAAAAGCTGGGGTGCATGGCATCAAGCCACCAGCGGCTAGTTGAGAGCACGCCCCTCCCCTTCACCAACTCCACATCCCAAAGATATGAACCTTAACGTGGTGCCGCACATTGGACTCGTCCATGCCGAAACAGGCAATCAATCTATCGACGCATCTCCTCACTATTATGCGGCGCGATAAGTTGGTGGAGTACTGTAGAAGGCGCTTCATTGCTCCAGCAAACTGGCACAATCAAGGCATCGGAACCCCCCCAGCACACTGGTCCACCTTTTGGAGATGAATTAGTTTCCTCTTGCTCGTTTCGAAAGAGCATGCATTCGTATCGGCAACCGGACCCATGGGTATCAAATCCACGGGATCCTCTGACCCCGGGAATGCGAGAGACCCCGCACTGGGCCAGCCTCAAGCCATCCATCGTAAGTAGAGCCTGACGAAATGGAATCATGCGGGTTTATCGTATCACGGACAGGACATCCGGCATCGGGTCTGGCGGATTTATTGGCTTGTTTCTTGGCATCTTGAACGGTTTGGGGGAGGAGAGAGACGAGAGAAAAAGGATACATTAGACCCAGGGCGACGGGTCAAGCAATAAGCCCCGACTCTAACCTTATCCTTGCCGTCTAGCAAGCCACTCCAAGTGACTGGACATATTCTCTTTTGTCAAGACGCTTCCTCTTTGTACTCTTTTTCTAAACAGCCTTCTTGGCATCAAAGAAGGTTGCAAACAAAGATTAAAGTCGACATGACGGTCTCTGGAGATTCCAACCTTACCAACGGCGCCAGCAGTGCTGCTGCCAACGGTGTAAATGCTGCCAGTGGCGCAAAGCGATCGTGGGAGGAGATCGGCGCAAAGAAGCGCAGCGAGCTGCAAGCCTCTATACCCAAGGAATGGCGCATCCCAGAGAACTTGATGCCTCCGGAATCACAAGACGATGTGACAGGCTGGCCTGAGACGTCTGGGTGGTTCACGGAGGAAGAGTTGGCCATCACCAACTCGACTATTGAAGAGCTCCTCTCCAAGTTGGCGACGGGCGTTTTAAAGTCGGAGGATGTTACTCTAGCATTTTGCAAGCGAGCAGCTGCAGCGCACCAGCTTGTGAGTTTCTTCCTATCGTCTCTATTGTTTCCCTTTTTTCTTCTATTATATTCTCTTCCTAGTTCTGTGCTCACACCAGTCTAGACAAACTGCCTGTCCGAAACTTTCTTCGATCGCGCCATCGCCATGGCTCGCGCTCGAGACCAATATTTTGCGGAAACAGGCAAACCAATGGGCCCTCTACACGGTCTTCCTATTTCGCTCAAGGACAACATCAACGTCCAGAGCGTTGATTCTACAGTGGGCATGGCGGTGCACGTAGGCGATCCAGCCAAGGCAGACGCAACGCTGGTAGAACTGCTAGCGGAAGCTGGTGCCGTTTTCTATGTCAAGACAAATGTGCCCACGGCCATGATGATTGCTGAGACGGTAAACAATGTCTTTGGGCGCACTTTGAATCCGAGAAACAGACAGACGACTAGCGGTGGTAGCTCTGGCGGAGAGTCTGCGCTCATTGTCATGAAGGGCAGCCCCGTTGGTGTTGGATCAGATATCGGTAGGCGCATCATTTTCCAGAGTGCCAACAATAGGGACGAAAGAATGCTTTGCTGACATACAACAATAGGTGGTTCGCTTAGAATCCCGGCTGCCTGTACAGGCATCTTCACACTTCGCCCCTCGGGCGGCCGTTTCCCTGTACGAAACTGCAGATCCGGCATGGCGGGACAAGAAGCCGTTGCATCTGTCAATGGCCCGTTAGCCCCGACTCTGAACGGTGTCAAGCTCTATAGCAAGGCCGTGATTGACGCCCAGCCCTGGCTTAGAGACCCCAAATGCCTGCCGATTCCTTGGAGAGAGCCAGAGCTTCCTTCAAAGCTCCGGATCGGCGTCATGTGGCACGACGGCATGGTCCAGCCTACAGCTCCAGTGGCTCGCGCGCTCAAGCACACAGTCGCCAGACTCAAGGCTGCTGGCCATGAGATTGTGGAATGGGATCATGCTGACCAGGAAGAGGGGTCCCTGTTGCTGCAGCGCATGTTTGTAGCTGATGGCGGCAGGACTATCAAGTCACAGCTTGAGCCAACTGATGAGCCCTTGAGGATCGAGATGGCTTCCTATGGCGTTGCGAGGGAACTCGGCACGGCGGAGATGTGGAAGCTTCACTTGGAGAGGACCGATTTCCAGAACCGCTACTTGGATAGATGGAATAAGGCTGGCCTTGACGCTCTGTTGCTGCCGACAGTACCATTCAACACAGTGAAGAGCGGAACGTTTAAGCACGGTATGTGATCATTTACCCTATCTCTTGTGCATGCATTTTATATACTGCTTGCTAACGATAAGATGAACAACAACAGTTGCATACACTGGTGTCTACAATGTGCTTGACTACTCTGCCGTGTCATTCCCAACCGGTTTGAATGTAGATCGAAGCATCGATGTTCCCCGGGAAGATTACACTCCGCTCAGCAGCGAATGCAAAGACCTTCACGAGACTTGTGCGTATTATCCTTTTACTCTGGGCGCTCTGCTATTCATACGATGCTAACTAGTACAACGTGTAGATGACGCCGATCTGATGCATGGGCTGCCGATCAGCTTACAGCTTGTGGCGCGGAGGTTGGAAGAAGAAAAGGTTCTGGCCATGACTGGGCGGGTATTAGAAGCTTTGGCTGCGTAAGAATTAAGATTGCCTACCTATTCAGAGATGCTTCTGTCATGTAACATATAGTACAAATAAATTAAAGCAGCGAAAGATATAGCAAGAATTGTTTAACGAGGTAACACCATTCATGATTCATCGTTTGCGAAGACAATGTTTTAAATAATACCATTCTCAACGCAACTCTCTCTTTTTTTTTTCGTGTCTCCTATCTTCATGTGTCTGAAAATTTTCGTTTCCAAGGTTCCCAAATTGTGATTATTTGCTGCGTGTACCTACGTGTCCATATAATCCAGCCTACGCCACTCGCCATCAACACAAATCTCATCACACTCGTTCAAACTTATCCAACTTTTCCACGCTCTGATGATGCGCTTTCTTAGCCTATATATCTCTTCTTATGTATACGCAATATAGGCCATACTTCCAGTCAGGTACATACAAAGAGCTTATCAGCAAAGTCTTTGGCCCATGTACCATTATCCACCACATCAATACCTCGTAAAGAAGGTCGACTCACGGTGAACCGGCTCGGTAGATGAGACTGGCGAAAATGACTACGTATAAATAGATCTATAAGATCTAATTTGGCTCGTGTATCACTTTTGATCCTTTGGGGAAATATGCGAATCCAAGTGTGGCACAGCTGAGTGCGGCAAACTGCGTGGATCAATGATCAAACTATCTGAAACTACCACCGGGGCTGCAGCCCATCGATATACGAATCCTGCTAACAAACTTAAAAGAAAGAAACGAGAAGCTCCCAATTGCTCTCAATATCCACGTAGTCGAATGATCACGAGACATTTGGTAGTCCATCGGTGTCAAACGTCAGCGCCTTGAGGAGCAACAGGCCTTTGCCAGGCAAGTTCCGCAAGTCTCGTCAAAGCTTCTCCATGGAACTTTACTGCTTCACGCATCACCGTTTGAAGTTCATTAGTTTGAGCTTCAAACTTCTCTTTCTCCTTTCGCTCGAGGTCCTCCCGCGTCGCTGCAAACTTCTCCTCTATTTTTTTCTCGAGGGCGTCTTGCATCGCTTCAAGCTTCTTGTCGATCATCTGCCGGAGATTTCCAATCGTGCACCCACAACCAACTCCTTCAGCAATCTGTCGTTCAGAGACAGCGTTCGCCAGTTGCACCTGTACAGCCATAGGATCAAGGCGATCCTCGTTGTTAGTTTCGGCGACAGGCAAAGAGAGGCATTCAGCGCCTGTCACCTTTGTATGCGTTTCTTTGTCTTTTTGGAGATTTCAGCTTTATCACTCATGGACGTCGGGTGATCCTCCTCAGGAGCAGCAGGTTCGGCAGGCTCTGCACCGTCAATCGTGAAATACTCATGTGTATGGTCGTTGAGGTCTGTCGTTTGGAAGGCCGTGCGGATAGTTGCCAGATAAACCTCGGGCAGGGCAGTGCCGTATAACGTCTTGAGGATGATGAAAATGGGCCACGACGGAGATATGTTTAGTTTCAGGCTACAATGTTCGGCTCTCATAAGGGGGTGTAGCAATGAATTCTTTTCCGCCTCTGGAGGTATAACGTATTGGAGGCGTTTTATCATAAATCGCATTCCCTCCTGGTCGGCCCGAGATAAAACAGTGGCTTGGGAATGATATGCCTTTATACACTTGATGCTGTCTTCCCACTCAGGGTCTCCTTTCTTAACTTGCTGCGGAGGTTTACCCCCGATGCGTCGTACAAGATCTTTATACGACAGCATAATCACCGGCTCGTGTGTGTCCTTTTTCTTTCTCGTGGAAGGCATTGTGGATGGATGGATGTCGGCGGGCGAACTGCGAACTGCTCAATATTGTGAGACAGAAGAAAAGAGAGAATACAGAGATGGAAGAGCTTGGATACATACCTAGGTCATAGATATTCTTACCGAAAGATACTGGTGGTTGAGGCGCGACCCAATGCCACAACGTGAGATGGAGAAGAGGAGAACAAAAAGCGAGGCCGGGGAGAAAGCAACGTGATTCTCTCTCCGTGAAGAAAAGTTTTTTAATAGGCAAAAAAATCAGATGGAAAAGCCAATCAAGCACCACAGTTGTGAGCAGCGCGTTTGACAGGTAGGGAAGTGAATGGTGCCGCACAATCACAATTGCTGCGGCAGCTTGCGGTTGCTCAAAGCCGTTGATCTTCAGAGTCATGTAGTTGCTTTGAATACGGATTCGTTGCTTCAGTTTGTTTGTTTCTATGTATCCGTATTATCATTTCATCTTCCAAGAATCCAAAGTACCAGCTTCATGTTGTCCAATTCAGCTCGCCTGCAAGAGACGCCGAACCTCGCCAGCAATGGCATCACCAGCCTCCTTTGTCCCGGCCTCACCCCCCATATCCTTTGTCCGAATGCCGAGTCCACCCCCCTCTTTTGAATCGAACACTGTCTGAACAGCCTTTTCGATGGCCGCCGCCTCGTCCACAAGCACGCACGAGTACCTCAGAAGCATCGCCAGACTAAGGATTTGCGCAACGGGGTTCACGATGCCCTTGCCAGCAATATCTGGCGCACTTCCATGCACAGGTTCATAAATGCCGTTGCATTTTCCCTGTCCTGGAATACCGGAAATGCTCGCACTCGGCAGCGTCCCAAGGCTGCCCACGATGCCACCCGAAATGTCGGACAAAATATCGCCAAAGGTGTTGTCCGTGTGAATCACGCCGTTGAAGCCGCGCGGGTTCTTGACCATCAGCATAGCCATGCTATCCGCAAGCTGATGGCGCAAATCAATGTCCGGAAACTCTCTGTCAAAGATATCTTGAGTTACTCTGCGCCAGAGTCTCCCGCTGGCAAGGACATTTGCCTTGTCGGCACTCCACACAATGGCCGGACCATCGCCGCCTTTGCCATCGCCATTCTTTCCGAGGATCCGAGCCACGGCGGCCGATACACGAGCACAGCGCTCAACCTCTCGGGGCTCGTATACCCATAGATCTGATGCGACTTCGGGCTTCTCGACTTTGTCGCCAAAGTATGCGCCACCGCAGTTTTCTCGGACAACGATGAATTTGGTGCCCTTGACGATGTCTGGCTTGAGAGGCGAGGCTTCAAGTAGGCTCGGGACCAGAATTTCACACGGCCTCAAGTTTGCAAATGCATCCAGCCGTTGTCGAAGTCCCAAAATGCCAGCCTCTGGGTTGGGAGAAGCGTTTGCCCACTCTGGCCCGCCCACGCTGCCGAATAGCACGGCGTCACTTTTGCTGGCCCTGTCGAGGACTTCTTCTGTCACGGGGACTCCGTGCTTGTCGATGCTGCTGCCGCCAACGAGGTCGAAAGTGCGCTCAAACTTGAGATTTGGCCGGCACTCTTCTACGACGTCGAGGACTTTGAGGGCTTCGGCCATGATTTCGGGGCCGACATGGTCGCCCGGGAGAACGAGAATGCGAAATGTCTGAGCCATTGTGTAGGGTAGTTGTTGACTTTGTTAAGATGGCAGTTTTGAAGTGAAGTAATGAGTGACAATGACGATTCCCGGTCGTGACTTTTTGCTGCTTTTCTCTTTCGTTGCAATAATAGAAGGCTGACTTGCTATTGAACGGCCGTCTTACATCACATTCTAGGCCTATGGTTTCCAGTTCCTCACCGGCCCTGATGTCAGCGTTCCTCCTGATCCGAGATCGGCTCTTCAAACGAAATCCTCCATCGCGGCTCCAATACCCATGCCAATCAAGTGGTAAGTTCCAGTGATCACAGGAACCAGCTCTAAGATAATTCTTACTCAATCCATCATCGTCCCGCAGAGAACCAGAACTAATAAACCCCCCGGACAACCCCGCATCCGCGGAGAGGCAAAAGCAGACGCCCCTTCAACAAGCTTCTCCACACGGCCGGCTTTAACCACGAGTTCCCCTTGGTTAAAAGGCAAAGAGAATGGCCCTAGCTAGGCGGATCTAAATTGGCTCAAGGGACGCCGCACTGTATACGGATTGACATGTTGAAGATGAACCACTTGTAGGTCACGGCAACGAGAGGGGTTCACTGTCGCACATGATGTGATATCAGACAAAAAGTTTTGCATCTACAGCTCTCACTTTCTCTTGTTGGAGATCTCTGTCTTTACTTATTTCATTTCTGTAAACTTACAAGCGCCTCTATCATTACAATCCCTCCAAGCAAACATATAGACAAAATGTCATCAGAACGTCTCGCGGGCAAGGTTGCCATCGTCACTGGTGCCGCTTCCGGCTTCGGTAGAGGCATTGCCACGAAATTCGCCCAAGAAGGAGCCAAAGTCATCGTCGCAGATCTCTCAGAAGACGCCGGAAAGCAGGTTGCCTCTGAGCTCGGCGGTGTCTTTATTCGCACCGATGTCACCCAAAAGGCCGACTGGGAAGCCGCATTGGCGCTGGCCATCAAGGAATATGGACAGCTGGATATTGTTGTGAACAATGCCGGTGCATCTTACTCAAACAAGGCGACGGAGAATGTAACGGAAAAGGAATTCGACATGTGTATGAATGTCAATGTCAAGTCCATCTATATGTCGACACAAGTCGTCGTGCCGTACTTGCTCAAGGAGAATCGCCCGGGAAACTTTATCCAGATTGCATCAACAGCTGGAATTCGGCCTCGCGGTGGCTTGGCATGGTACAGCGCCTCCAAGGGAGCTGCCATTACTGTTACCAAGGCTCTGGCTTCTGAATATGGCCCCAAACAGATTCGATTCAACGCCGTTTCTCCAGTAGTTGGCGTCACTGGAATGTGAGTGCACATGAAGGCCGTCATATTTACGCTCTTTACTGACTATTTCATGATAGGACCAATCTCTTCCTGGGATCTACAGATATATCTACCTTTGTGGCGACGGTTCCTCTTGGCCGACCGTCAACACCGGCAGACATTGCCAACGCTTGCTGCTATCTTGCTAGCGACGAAGCCGCATTTATTACGGGAGTGAATCTTGAGGTGGATGGTGGACGATGTGTATGATAAACTTATCTAGTTGTAAATAACCTAGTCCTTTGTCACACCGACTAGACATTAAAATAAAGTGATAAATTGTCAATGACTGGTGTTTTATCATAAGTGAACACGTTTTAAGGCAACGTTTCCTCTCTCAAGTTTGACGATGAAATGGTAGTCAATACCTTCTTCCAGCATAGAAGGGTATGAAAGCCTGAGACTTATCAAGTCACTGTAAAGCCATTCAGAGAATCCAATCACGTAAAGCATAGCAACCTGCTGAGAAAAAATTTGTGGAATCACATCTATATTCACAACGCTATCTACAAGCCTTCAATAGTAAATGTGCCACTCTTTGTAATCATAAATTCTTCAATCGCCACATCCTTTCCACTTTCCTTGCCTGAGCCGCTTTCTTTGATGCCTCCAAAGGGTGCCTCTGCGGAAGAGTTGTTTCCAGTGTTCTACACAATTTCACATTAGCCATGATTCTCCAACATCGTATCGACCATGTAAAATAACTTACCAAGCCAACCATACCTGCCTCTAGCAGCTCAAAGAGCCTCCAAAGTCTGTCCACATTCTTTGTAAAAGCATAACTAGTCAGACCCATAGCGGTGTTGTTTGCCCTTTGAATAACTTCTTCTTCTGTATCAAACACCGAGAATCCGAGAAGAGGTGCAAAAATCTCATCTTGGCTCATGAGCATGTCGTCTGTAACATTTGTCAAGACGGTAGGCGCCATGAAATAACCTCCGCTACCTGATGCATCTCGCTTTCCAGTACCAAATACCAGCTTTGCCCCCTTGGCCAGAGCATCTTTGGCCATGTCTTCAGCTCTATCAAGACTCCTTGGAGTGGTAACTGGACCGAGAGTGGTGCCCTCGGCCATGCCATGGCCCATCTTCAACTGAGACGTAGCATTGACAACGAGGTCGACAAACTTGTCATACACGCCTCGCTGAACATAGACTCTGTTTGAAGAAACGCAAGCTTGGCCTGCATGTCGCCACTTCAGTCCCATGAGTTGTCCAAGCGCCTGGTCAAGATTGGCATCGTCAAAGATGATGAAAGGACAATTGCCACCAAGCTCCATGGTAGACTTCTTCAGGTTTCTTGCACATAGGCCCGAAATGATCTTTCCAACTCTAGTGCTGCCGGTGAAAGTCACCTTCTTAACCAGTGGATGCAGACAGAGTGCCTCAGCTAGCCCTGGTGTTCCCTCCAGGCTTGTGGTAAGCACATTGAGCGCGCCTGGAGGAAATCCAGCCTTCAATGCAAGTCGAGCCACAGACAGGGCCGTGATGGGCGTCTCAGGAGAAGGCTTGACAATCATGGTACAGCCAGCAGCCAGAGCCGCGCTCGCCTTTCTGAGAGTCAAGGCTATGGGGAAATTCCAGGGCACAAGAGCAGCAGCAACGCCAACGGGCTGCTTGATCGTGACCGCTCTCCGACCTGGGATCGCTGAGACAATAGAAGATCCCTGAACCCGTTCTGCCTCGCCTACAAACCACCAAGTAAATGTGGTGGCGTAGTCAATCTCGCCATAGGCTTCCGCAAGAGGCTTCCCCGTCTCGTGAACCAGAATCTTTGCTAGGTCATCTCGTGCAGCGATAATCTCTTGGTGCCATTTCAGCAATGTCTGCGCTCTCTGTCTAGGCGTCCATTTGGAGTAGCTCTGGAACGCCCGGTGTGATGATTGGACTGCAGCATCAACGTCTTCTTCGCGACAGTCTGGACATGACGCCCAGGCCTTTCCGGAGCCCGGATCGACGACCGCGAAGCGCTTGCCTGACTTGGCAAAAACAGACTCTCCATCAACAATACAATCTAGCTGGCCGAGGCTGGAGTCGGCCAAAGTAAAGGGAAAATCGCCGTCCATGATCGATACTGATTGTGAGAAATACTGCAAAGGTGCTTTTGCGTGCAAGAACTGAGTAACGAACAGTGATGGATACTTTTCAACAACTCAAAGCTGGCGATTCAATTCACAACAAACTCGCTTTCTACCACCAGGTTCCTTGTAATGTCCCATCTGCTCTCCATCTCCCCACGAAACATCGAAATCCCATGTCACCAATGCGGGGATGGTCCGGAGAGGCTTGTGGCACGCTCCGTCTTGTCTCATACAGTGCGGGTCAGTCTCTAACTCTGAGATTCTCGGTGGCACAAGCCGCCAGCTAGCCATAACAAGAAGGCAATCTATCATCAACTTTTTGTGGTTTAGAAAATAGCGATGGCTTCAGAATCTCTAGCAGCGGCTGTGGCGTCCAGGGTTGCGATGGTCCGGATTTGGCAGCCTTCCCTGATAGGAGATTTATCATTTGGATACCCGTGAATGCAGATGTTACTAGTAGATGCTGCTGGGGCGATCGTTGTTACCGGAAACTTATTTTGTGTTCTAGAGCGAGGTCGGAGATTGCAGCTAGATCGGCCAACTTGCCTCAACGCCACGTTTTTGCATCACAGGAACAGTAGAGATTATCGCGATGGCGGCTGACTGCGGCTGACTGCGGCCTATCCGTTCTATTTTCCCATGCCAAGAGAGTCTAATCACCCCTATCCATGTATCTATGCGTCAAGATGTACGTTAAGCAACCATCTATACCAGTAGCCGTTTATTGCTTCCTTCAAGTCATGCCGTTATCGGTCTCCCCAAATTGCCCATCAAGCAACCGTGTAGCTGACGCGGCTGATGCCTTTGCTCCTCCCAATCTTCTTCACCGTCGTTGCGCCGCACAGGTCCGTCGTGTCGACGTGTGTCCCTCCGCAAGGATAAACCTCAGCTCCTACAATGCGCACCACGCGAAACTTGGTCTCGCCGGGAGGCAACAGGCTTCGGTCCGGAATCAAGCGCTCTAGACCCTCTCGTCGGAAATCGTCTTCGGTCCAAAAGTCAATCTCTACCGGCATTGCACGGCGAAGATACTCGTCGACTCGGTCCTGGATCGGCTGCTTCCATTTGCCCTCGATCAGACCGCGAAACTCGCAGGCAGCGCTGTCGGGGAAGTGAGAAGCTTTGAGTTCGTCGAAGCCCTCGATTTCCTTCTCGAGCAGATGCCTCACGGCTGATCCGAGAACGTGGCCTGCAGTGTGTAGCCGTGAGTAGAGGAGGCGCTTCTCTGCGTCAATCGCCTGCTCCACGACATCGCCTGGCTGAAGTTTTCCTGCCGTTGAGGGATCCTTGAAGCGGCCTAGATGCAGCACCAGACCATCGTTTACAACGTCCATGCGTGCAGCCCTGATGTCGATAGAAACGGGAGCCTGGCCTTCCTCCGATGTGGTTGCTGAGATTGTGCCTTCATCAGATGGCTGGCCGCCACCCTGCGGATGGAAGATGGTTTCCTTGGTCACGACAACGTAGTCATCGTCGCCAGCGTCCTTGAAAATGGCGCGGTTTTGCTCTTCTACCGCAGCGAATGGTCGTATTGACAGCAACTCAGTCTTTAAAGTGAGCAGTTTTCCGTCATGGTGAAAGGCCAGGTGAGTCCCGGTTGGCTTGTCAGAGGCCATCGTTGATAGTTGTCTCGTAATTTGCGTCGTTCTGTATGAGGTTGTGCAGATATATCGCCGTGTTCTCTCCACCAGGCCTCGACACAGCCTTGCTTTGTATCCAAGATATACTTCGTAGAGCATTTCAGAACTTGAATGAGGCGCGCCTTTCGATTCGATGTTTGATTTGACAAGTTTTAGTGGGGGGCTGCCGCCCTATTGGTTTGTGGCTCATGGATTTATGCTATTTCCCGAGCAATTTATCCTGACAAAGGCCAACTTGAGGCTCAAGGCCGGGATTCTTCATGTTGATTGGGCTGAGATCAGAGCTTTGACTTTTGTATATAAAGAGAGAAAGAGAGATGATGATTTGACTGCAGGTCATAGCTTTTCCCATACCTGTTTCGCTCTGGGGTGTCAAATGCCGAAAGGTTCGGCTTGGAAATTAGCGTCTGAACGTTTCATTGATGGCGTCTCGACCCACTCAAAGAAGCATCAATGCTTTTGACATGTTCTTAAACAAGTAGTAAAATGAGAAAAGGTTTGTTGTTTGGGATATATGAGGGAACATGAGCCTGGAGAGAATAATTGCGTATTCTCAAAGATACTCGGGGACAAATCGTTAAGTGCCGGATGCAAGACATATCACAAGTCCCGCTCCACAAAGGATGATTCATGCAATGCCTCTTCCTTCATCTAAGCAATTTCTCGAATATTGAAGTCTTATGATCCTGCAGCATTTGCTCGATTGTCACTATTTCATCCAGGTGTAATATCACTTCATTTCTCACCTCGATGGCCTGTGCAGGTATCATTCCAACAACCCCCCACGTACACGTATCTGCATGCAAGTTCTACAGGTCAAAGGAGCCAGCAGACTAGCCTACATGACCGCTACTGTACCACTGCCACACGGCAGCGAGAAGCAACAAGCATACCAAAAGCGGTTGAAAGGCCGTTGGTGCAGCAGCTGTGGAACCCGTGAAGTCGGATTTGAGCATCCTTTGAGTCTACCGCCGTCGATAACCCTGTCCGGGGCGCCATCACAGATATTCTTCTACCAATAAGGATGTGCAGAACCTCCGAATGATCCTAGGGTTTATTCGAGATGCATCGGTGTCCATAAAAACTTGACAACACGTAGGTGCCTCGCTTAATTGTACTTGCAGCAAAAACAGCACTGGATATAAAGGCAAAACTCTTGACGTGCAGCAGACGGAGTGGTCAACAGCATAATCGTACATGGACGGCGGCGTTCGTATTCCGCTGACGCAAAAGGAATGCAAGAAGCAGACAAGCGAGTTCGTATGTTGATCAGAAGGATTCGTATGCGCACTACACATCACATCAGAAACGCCTGGTATTAGAAAGAGCTAACGTAAAAACATGAAGAAATGGCTTGAAATGAAAAAGGGTGTCATCGCTTTTCCCCATCCAATGGCTTCCTTGCCCACACCACTTTTTGATTATAATATGCGTGAAAGTTTTTCGATCTGACATCCCGCCGCAGCATGCTGATGTACACCAAAATCTCCTCTCGCGTCCACCCCAGCGTGTTTGCCATGAAGACGATGTAGCCCTCGACGTCTCTTTCGAGGACCATCTGTGCGACTTGCCCGAGCTCCTTCAGCTTCGGGTCCTTTGCCCAGCCCCCTATCGGCATCTGCAAGTTCAACACTGTTAGCCGTGACATGATCAATATTTTGATTATCAAGGCGTCGACGTACCTTGAAATTGAATTCTTGAATGTCGACAAAGCCGGCTGCCTCAATTGACTTTCTTTGTGTTTCGTCTTCGACAACAGTAAAGGATCTCCCAATCTTTTTCCCTCCGGAGATGAAGAACTTGCCCCATTGCCCCATGGGACAAGTCTCCGTGACAGTGCCATCATCGCTCGTCATGATGGCTGAAGTCTCCAGGCTCTCAATGTAACCCCCTGGTCGCAGTACGCGATATGCTTGCTGCATCAGGGCATCCCAGTCTTGAATGCTGCCAAGGAGCCACCGCATATGCACATAGTCAAAGTCTTGGCTGCGAAATGTCCAATCCTGCGTGCAGTCCTCGATTTCACTATTTTATTTGTCAAATGAGTCATCTTGTATGGACAGATATGCCGGAGTGGAAGGTATCTGCAGGAAATGACAAATATGCTGTTGGTATAAACTCACAATTGGAGATTGGGCGGTACCCACGTTGGCTGAATGGGGGAAATGTCGGTGCCAATGATCTGAGCATCGGGATATTCATCGGCAAAGTCACTGCAGAGATGTCAGTATACAAGTCATGCAGCGCGGCCGCCGTGGGCATTAATTCTCACATAGCCCATATTCCTGTGGGAAGAAGAAGGGGAAAAGTCAGCTTCAGGAAATAAAGAACGGCGTCAGTAGAATATTGTAAATGAGCAACTAACCTGTGCCAGTGCCTATATCAAGAGCTTTCTAATCGCGAAGGACCTTGTGTCAGTTTAATCGTATCCAAGTTGCACATTGACATATTGGGGAGCGCGGTACTGACTTTGATATTTTCCTTAACCAATGGAGCCATGAGGAGCCTGTCCCCCATTGCCATAGTCAAAGCATGATGACTATCGTGCACACTAATCAGCTCTGGTTCCGAATCGCGTCCATTTGACTGCTGTATGGTGGTTTGATAGAAGCATTATTAGCGTTGCCACACTCACTTTATGTCCAGCGATTCATTCGCCGCCTCGTCGTTGGACTGCCTGTTCCCAGATGCCCAAAGTCAGTATCCGTCTTCCGAGCTGCTACTCAATGCCTCATAGAGGTTAGACGCGTCCACTGACCAGTACTGCGCTGTGCCGGTTTCGCCATGGAACCTTCGCCCGTGAATCTCTCGATACTGTAGAATGCTAGAGGTGATCGAAGCAGTTGAGCTGCCAGCATCAGAACCAAGCGCAGAATCGCCGTCGTCGTCGTAGTCATCGTCTTCGGGCCGGTTGCCTTCTCGCTGCGAAACCTGTTTGCATAAGTTTCCTTGCCTCACGATTCTCAGAATGCACTAACCTCTCGCCAATGGTCAGCTGGGAGGATGCCTTCCGCCGCGTGCTCTTCCTGTTGACTGCTTCCACCAGCCGCTCCTGGAGGGCTTTGTCCGGGACTCTTATCCATGAATTCGTTGATACAAGCGAAACGCGTTCTTATTCCGACTATCCCTCTCCTCTTTCTCTTTTCCAGTTTCTCTTAATAGTCTCCTCCTCGTTGATGCTCAGTTGGTCTCCCTAGTCTCCTTTCCGACTCTCGTTTAGGCGCAATTGAACAAGGAGCAGGCGAGAGTAAAACAGCTGAGCAGCTAATGCTCAAAAGATGGTTAAACCAGAATATATATGGTAATTCGTAACCTTGCACGCGCTCCATACAAACACTACAGCCGCAGGAGCAAACACCGCCCAGCCCGGAGTCCGCCAATGACGTCCCTCGTTGTATGACTGCAGAGCGTCAAAACATGTGCTTCGTATGCAGATGAGCAAATGGTCGAGTAAGCATATGTAGTTTACTTGCAGGCGCGTGCGTCGTGTCGCGCAGTCAGTCCTAGGTCTCGTCCCCCCAGAAAGCCTCGAGTTTCCCCCCGTCTTCAGTGTCCAAACATACGAGAAAGCCGCAGCTAGGGTCGCCGATGCAGTACTGATGCAGCCTTGGCCTGGCTTCGGTTGCGTCGCCAAGCAAAAAGAGTTCAGGCACTTGTCTGGCTTCGCTTGTCAAAACAGGCGCGCCTGTCACTTATCCGATCGAGCCGGCCAACAGTTGGTTGCTCATGCTGCTGTATGTACATGTATGTGCGACATCAAACCAACGGGGTTAAGGAGAGGAGTGTGAAAAGAGGGCCAGCCCGCATGAAAGACGGCGATGAAGATGATTGAAGAACGGCTGAGGGTGGGATCGGCGTGGAGCCGGGGGTCGATGACAGAGGGTGGGGAAGAGGAAGAGGCCGACAAGCAGTTGTTGGCTTTTAGCAGCTTTTCAACGCACAGCGACGGAGCAGTTGTGTTCTAGCAAGGAGTGATCGTATTACGGGGAGATGATTACGGAGCTCATGTACGAGTATGCTCACTTCGCAGTAGCATTGACGGCTGAGCTAGCTGGGAGAAAAGCTAGTCGGACGCTGGTCCTCCCGTCCCGCTGCCATGCATTTGTCTCTTCTGCAGATTTCGGGTTTTATTCCTGAATCGATTCTGCTCTTTCTCCGATCCCTTCCCTGTCTGGAGGTTAAAACAAGGGGGATGACGAATCCCAGTTCAATCTCTAGAGTGGCCGCTACTCACCGATCGTGAACAGTGGCCATGTGCTGGGAGGCGCTTGAGTTTGCAGCCGGTCACGAACAGACAGAGACAATTGCTGAAGTTTACTGGAACTACAAAATGGGGAACCACAGACACGAAACAAGTATGAAAGAGTTGTTGACTGTTTAACCAAGACTCTCTTCAATTGCGAGTTCTTCAGTGCAACACCAAGATTCGTGTTTGCTCACTCTCTCCCCTCTTCTCTGTCTCCAACATGCGACGAAATGAATGCTCACCAGATCAGCAAAAGCTTAGCACCCACACCAATGCAACGTGTCGTTCTCTGGCAGGTCTTTGCTAGCCTTTGTGACCCGTCGCGCTAGAGACCGGAACTCCCAGCTTGCATGGCCGCAAGTTCTTGAGCATGTCCGGAGAGGAAATCGTTGTCTTCGTGGTTCCCACACTCTTTCGATGGGGTGACACAGGCGTCCGGGTGGTTGAATTGAATCGGGCGGTTACACAGCATCATCGAGGCGTGACGCAATGCAACAGCCAAGGCGTCGTCAAAATTAAATTGCAGTGAATGAGATCAATCTCTCTTAAATCTCCTTTGGCGACTAACCCATGTTGACCGCTCGCTAGAGGGCGCCTGAATAGGAGAGTTGGACGCCACCGACTAGCCCTACCCTCCCCCTCACTCTCATGCATAAACTCCCAAAATACGTGTATCATGCAATCAACTCGCGTACTCGAGTTTAGACGGTAGGTCCAAGATGATCTCTAAGCGCCTTTGGCGATACGGATGGAAGAAAGGGAGGCAATTCGAGTTCCATAGCCTCGATAAACCAAGAAGCAGCTGCATCTTTACATCTATAACTAAAGCATCGTCAACAAGGACGCGTCGAGATGAGCTATCACGCTTATAAAGTGGAACATAACCCTTTGCCTCGCTATGCTTGATCACGCATTGACAAACTACAAACTAGAATCGAGTCATCAGTCACACGATATGGGACACGAAAGCTCTGAATTATACCATAAGCATGGTGATTCTCTATTGGTCTAAGCCTCTATATCGTCTACATTACATTATCATTTCGGTTCTTCACGTCAAGCTTCCCTCTGGGGGACTCCCATATTCCGACAGAGTAATACATATTATCGATCCACAACTCGCTGTCACCAGCCCATTACTGTGAGATAATCTTGGTTGCCTCCGCCATCTGATCGGGATCAGCCAGCAGCTGCACTGCGAGCTGAGCCTCTGCTCTGGCCACAATCTCCGTCTGAGCGTAGGCAAAGTCGGTGTTGGCCAAGGCCTTGAAGAGGGGCTCGTGGTTGAAAGCGCAGCCAGCACCCGAGAGGTTTGTGCAGATACCATAGTTGGCGTGAAGGACTGCCTTGGCCGCGCTAGTCAGGTTGTGAGAAGCGTTGAGAACAGGATCCTGCACCCACGAGGCATCGGTTGAGGCGGGAGCAAAGGTGCTGACGGGGAAGTTGGTCAGTCCATAGTCGGCTCCTCCAACGATGCTGACAAACTGGTCGCCAAGGAAGGGCGTCACCTCCAGAGCCGGGTACTTGACATCGTGAGAGACGCTCTTGGGAAGAGTTCCGAGAGCAGCGCTGACAAAGTTGGCCACGGTGTTGATATCAGTGGTGAAGCGAGTGCGCATGTCAATGGTGATGTCGAGCTCGGTGGCGGTCGTGTTGCTGGGGAGGTAGAATGAGACACCAGCAGTGTTCTTGAGGGCGTTGAAAGTGTTGACTGAGAGCACCAGCGGTCCCTTGGTTGCCTCTGAAGCATGGCCACCGGGTCCGTTAAACGTCAGGGCAACACCATCATCATCGTTGGCAGCGGAGAAGGTGACATTGGGATAGGTTGAGTCAAGGATGCCGGAAACAGTCTTGGTGACGGTATCAAGGTCCGAGCCAGCAACACCAAGCTTGATGATAGTCTGGACAATGTTGGTCGCGTAGACGCCGACATTCTCAATACCAACGGCACTAGAACTAGTTCCGGGAAGTCCACTCAGGTTTTGCACAATGTTCAGGGCGCTGTATGCGTTTGCAACGGCCTCGGAGTGCGTGCTGCCGACAAAGGTAGCAAAGTAGTTGAGACGGGCGTTCATGGGCTGGATGGCGCTCGTTGTGGTTGGGTGAGCCATCAGCCAGACGTCCGAGTCGGCAAAGGCGTTCAAGTTGTTGAGCTTGAACTTGCCAGCGGCGTTCTCCTCGTCAGGGGTTCCGATGACGATGATGCGGCCGGGGATGTTGAAGTGTGCCAGCGCCTCACTGGCAAACTTGGCGGCTGAGATGCCGTTAAGGGCAATGAGGTTGTGGCCGCAGGCATGGCCAATGCCGACCAGAGCGTCGTACTCGGCCAGGAAGCCGACGGTAGGAAGATCGCCGGCAAAGCCAGCAGGTCGGTTGTCGAACTCGGCCCTGAATGCGGTAGGGAGGCCGGCATAAGCCGATCCGTCTACAGTCCAGCCGGCAACCGAAGAGAAGTAGCTGACAATCCGGTCGTGGGCGTGAGTCTCGTCCAAGCCAACTTCGGGATCATTCCAGATCTGCTGGCCAATGTTGAGGAGTGTTGGCCAGTTGGTGCTTGAGCTCGACTTCAAGAATGCTGGAAGGCCGGACAGGTCAACGGTTGACTGGGCCACCGCTCCGGCGGCAGCCATGAGGACTGTTGAAGACAGATGCATTTTGCTTTGCAGTTTGAGACTATCAAGAGGATGAGGGCTTGATTATTGCTGCTGCTGCTTCTTCTACTTCTTTTCCCAAGAACGGGCGAGATCTACGCCTCCTTATATACTGATCAGGACCCTCTATTCCAACCTCTAGCAAAAGGTTCTTCCCTCTCTCAATGGATCTCCAACTTGACAGCCATGGGGTACAAACAAGGCTCTCCTGACTAGCCATTGCATCCAAGCATCCTCCGCGGGTCCCACGCCACGTCTATCCGCCATTGGGATAGGCGTGCGGATAGTACCACTGCAAAGATTGCTTATACCCGGCTCAATTGCGTGTCTCACCACTCTTACTTGAGCACTAGAGGTCTACCCCCAGCCGGTCCAAGTATATACCGAGGTGATGCCGTCTCTTGGCGGACCCGGTTCTACGGACTTGGTGCTCAAATCTTCGATGTGGTTACACTCTGCTACGGTAGAAGAGGCCGGAGTTTCTAGCGTCGTTACGTTGTCTCGTAGTGGCAATTCGAGATGACGATCCACACTGCATCTGTTCCTGGGCCGTCCCACCCGGGGTGCGATGGTGTAAGCCCTAGACATTTCTTGACAACAGGTGGATATTTCAGCATGTGAATAGTGAAATACACTCGTACAGTACTCGGACAAAAAGAGTTCCGTCAGCTAATGTGTCAGATTACGGCAGTTGTCAATCGTCAAGGCCGAGCTGATCGCCCTGATTCCTACCTACGTAGGCGTAGTGATTGGAGGAGTTAATAACTCCTAACAACTTAGTCCAAGATGTATTTTACAAGGCAAATTTCTTTACTAAAAGATGAAGACAAAACTTGCCACTGAGACTCTACCATAGCAGCTCCGCAACTTGTGTTAAGACTACGTTACTCTCCTAAACATCATTCAGAATGATAATGGATCCAACATAACGCCGATGTTTCCTCTTCAGAACAGTAAAGCCCCGATGTGTCTAAAACAAGCAAAGGGGCCATGATCTGACAAAGTTCTTTTGTCCTTGTGAGAGTTGACAGGGTTCTGTTCAAGTAGTATACAGTTAGCTTGAGGATCTGTGGAGCATCAAGAATTAGTACTCGGCAAAATTATAAGAGTCGATATCGGCGTTTCTGAGAAAGACAAGGATATTAAGTCCACATCAGAACTTGTCTGGAGAATTTGACAACTAATAATGATACTGCGAGGACTGGCATGATATGTCCCAAACCCCGACTTCGCATGACAACAAACCAGAGCCCAAGACTTACTACTTCCTTATTAGTGGAGGCTCCGGCAGCTCGGCATCGGAGTTCGATATTTTGTCAAACGCTCACTTGGTCGTTGCCAGGATCTCGACGTACAGGCTGCTATCGGAATGCTACGTGATCTTGCCATTGAAGCACGTTCCAGCGGCAAGTTGCGGTAAGGCTGCCAAGATTATTGATTCCGCCACTCACCGTTGTTAATAGAACATCATCAATCATACCGGGCCTAGATTTCTAAGCATACCCAAAATAGCAAAGGCGTGGAACAGAAACCCCCGGGTTACCTGTATTCGGAACCCTCCCGTGATCAGTTGACTGGATCAATCTCAGTTAGCTCATATGCCGTGGACAAAGACACCGGTGCGAATTGAAGTCAGCTTTGTTTATTCACCGCGAGACATGTCGGCCTCTATCCTTTCGTGCTACTGTATTCATTTACAAAATAAATCTTCACGTTGTAGTAAAGCCACGACTCAGCGTGCTTTGAATCTGAATCCTACTCGATCGTATCTCATTAGCCACCAGATAGACTCGCCCTAAATCACTTTCTAGCGGACGTTGGCCAGCTTCCAGTATCCAGTGTGGCGCATGCGAGGCGGGCCGGTAACTGCCGGATCAGCAGCCATGGCCGAGGAATAGATTTGCCTTGGTTCGATGATACAAGTCATTTCCCTTGCGTTGTACATTCTCATCAGGCCAATTGACTTTCAGCGCTGAAATTACCGAATATGGTTTTGGCAGGCCAAAATGCTTGTTGGTTCTCCTTTTCAATCACTCGTTCTTGAATGCTGACACCTGCATATTACTGGAACTCGGTACGGGCGTAGCCTTTTATGGACAGGGGATCCTGGGCGCAGGATTGTAATCCTTGCTAAACGACAGCCTGGAGAAGCCGCTGAAAGATTTTAGCATACCTTCAAAAAGCCATGCTCTGCGCAATTGCTCGATCATTTTAGAGGCCGTTAGTCGTGACTACAGGTCAATGGCGGAAATACCGAAGCACAGTGCTTTAGGCATTTCATTTTTATAGGAGAATCTCCGAAAGAACTAAAGACGTCAGCAAGCTCAATGAGAAAAGCCGGGGGATTGTAACATTTCCAACCTTGACATGGAAGGCCTCGAACAAATCTGCATGTCCACCGCCACGTCTACGTATGATGTCACGGCTGCCAGTTGCCTAAGATACTATTGACAACCATGATACGGGGTTTAATGCTATGATCCTTCAGTATGAAGTACAATTACTAGTAGTTGTCAAGTAATCTCCTGATCTTTGAAGCCAACGCAAGGCACAAACAGCGTTACATTCTGTCTTGGTGTTAGTAAAGACACCAGCACGAATCACTTGCCTCATATGGTATACAAGTCCTGAACACAGCGTTCGGCCAACTCCGACGCCGTATGCCAGCTAAAGATCCAGATTATTTCCGCGCGTCTTTGACCCAGTAACTCGGAGTAATGCTTATTGAACTCGAAATGTCACAGCTGGGATTTCGGGACTTTTTTTCTTCTTTCAACACACCGTACAGTAGTGCAGTCAGCTGCTAGCTGCTAGCATACGAGTACACGGAGAAGCGGCGACGCCCCCAAAGTCCGATCCATACAAGAAGTTATCACTAGCAGTAGAATTCTGATGCAAGTTTAGAAGAAGAAAGAAAAATTCTGTTGAATTTCTGGGTACGGAGTATTATTTTGTAAATTGCGCCCGCTATGATGCGCTGACCGTAGCAATCAAATACAAATAATGCGCTGATTGCCTGGATACTAACCGACGACAGCTTATTCTTATCCCTATTCAAGGAGACCTTCCGATGCACCCCCGTTCTTCTCAAAGACTTTTTTTTTGGAAATCAAACGAAGATGAAGGACTGTATATATGAGACACGACTAGTCAAGTACCAAAATATCGTTGAGCTCGCAGCATTACCGTCAATTGTAGGGTAGATATTCGAGACGCGTCATCCGGCCACATCTGCATGAGATGCTCCACCAGTAAAGACCGACTGAGGGCGGTTGCGAATGCCAATGTTGGGTGGACATTAATCGAGATTATTTTAATCTAATCTATAAGTCAATTGGCTCTATCGTAGATCCAGGGAGCCGTGTTCCGGTTGTGACTTGCTTGCATAGACGAGCTTGCCGAAGTCCGAGCAATAGTAATCATCTCAATAACTAATCTTTCTTTTTTTGTGAAAGCTTGGTTGCTCTCAAATAGCATAATCATAAAGCGAGTATCTAATAATTAATCCAAATCCCAATCGTCATTACTTCATGTTCTTTCCTTTCCTTAACCCACGAGTGTTAGAGTCAAATGACGAAGTATGTGATGTCGAAACAGTTGGCGATGGGAAAGAGAATCCTCTGCTCAATAATTTCCACTATACTATGTGATTGCTGTTTGGGAGTAATTACACTCGTGCATTCTATCCTTCTTACATGTATATATTCGTGAGTCCTGTGACTTACATGCCGTCTGCACCTTTCCAAGGACTTGCGAGCGAAACAAATTAGATTTGTCCGATGCTATAGAAAATCCTCCTCCAGAGATCCAAGCAAGACCGGGAAGATTTCGAACACCCACGAGTTAAACCATACGCCTACAAAAGGAGCGACTGCTATATCTATATTTCTCTAGTAACTACTACTATATCTACATCTTTCTAGTAACTGCTATTGTATCTACATCTTTCTAGTAACTGCTATTGTATCTACATCTTTCTAGTAACTGCTACTATATTTATATAATAAAGTTCGAGTGCTGGCTGAATAGGCGTTCTAGGAGTTAGTTAAATGCTTATATTACTAAATATATGTACGTACGTATTCATTTTGCAGTCTCGTTTTTTCTGACCTTCGCTTGCTCAGTACCTTGGCTCGTAGTTGTGATGAAAGAGAAATTGTAAATTCCTATTCTGTAGGTGTTCGTGAATGTGAATTGTTGAGAAAATGCCTCCAATTCGTCGAAGTCAGCGACTGCTCGGTGTCGCCGCGGCAGCAGACGTGATTCTGACGCCCAAACCACCAACGACACCAAAATTCCAATTCCCAACGCCAATAAGTAAGGAAAAGCCCTTCATTCACGAAAGCCAGCAATGTTTTGCTTCCGGTGCAGACAGAATATCTCCAATTGCAACCATTAATGACGGCGCAATCTCTGTCACGCTGTTTTGTTGGCATCTCGTCCGCTCTTACTGATCAAATTTGGTTTCTGTTGACCTTCGTATTTCTAACTACCGTTTGTCGCGAGCTCTGATACAGCGAAAAGTGGACGCGTTACACGGACAAAGGACGCATCCCCAGGTGTATTTTCGTATTTCTCGCAGTTGAAACCTCGTGTACTTGTAAATGAAGCTTGTTCCTACTGGCAATATTAGTACGTTTAGAGGATCAGTGTGACTTCGCATGCGGCCAACTTCACTGCTTAGGTTACAATTTTGCAAAATCGTAGACATCGGTACGGCCCTGATGTTCATATAACGAAATATGAAGCCATTTTAAGAGACGAAAAGGAAGTCTAACAAAAGATTCATCAAACTTCTTTAGCTTGTGGTGAAGTCAAAGATACGTCCTCAATGATTGATAAAGAATGCTACTTCTGAATAGTCCAGAGGTTATCTCGTCACGATGATACGAAAATTGCTAGCTAGGTTTCTATTCACGGTGGTTCAGGATGGAGCTTTCTGACCACAATAGGGAGAAGAAAGCAATCAATACTCTGTG